AGCTGCAGGCTAACTAACACGGGAGAGATTGCTACGATAATGATATTCCACCTCGGGCAATAACCAATCGATTGCCTGAGTAAAAATGTTGTTATCATAGCAATTAGCTAGGTTCTGATTAGTTTGACTAATATTGGTTTTCTAACAGCCTATGTTATGTGCAGGTTGGCTGATATAATGCTAATATATACAGTTATACGTGTTGGGGAATAAATAGTAACATGCAACGGAATTACATAATTTAATTACAAAATAAAAGTAACTGTAATCAGTTACAGTTACTGAAACAATATGTGTAATTAAATTACAGTTACTTATGAAAATGTTAAGGATTACAAAAGGGGTTACATCTGCTTGTTTTCACACGCACACCCACATAGATTTAATTGATTTCTTTCATAAATTGCAGTGACTGCTCTAAAATATAAAACACCAATATTTCAGGAGTTTAGAACATGCTTGTTCGATAACTCTTTTATTTCCTATATGGGTTTATGTATAGCTATGCTTAATTTTTTTAAGATTAACTGTTTTTTTCCAAGGCATTGTCAGTATTTTATTAGCTATGATACCGTTTTTGAAATCAAATTTTTACATACGTGTTTACTGTCATAGCTATGTAAAGATTTGATTTCAAAAGCGGTATCATAGCTAATAAAATATTTCTTGTTATGATTTTAAATATGTATTTAACCTCAGAATGATCTCAAAGTAAGTCTGGTTTTGTAGTGGCTGTACTCCAAAGGGGACATTGATCTTACACAAGTTGGTATGATTCTTTAGGGTCTTCATGAACGGTCTGCAACATACTTAAAATTATTAAAATTCCTCTGTGGTCATGTAAAACAACACCCTTTTTACCTTGCTCTGTTCACAGCGACTCGTTTTGAGGCATGTCCCTTTAAATGCTAATGAGCTCTGCTCACCCGCCCCTTTCTTCCTTGGAAGAGCAAAGGCGATTTGCAAATATATATATGTACTATAAAATATATAGTGTCAGACTTAATTCATCTGGAGGTGCAGCTGGATCACGAACAATGGGTACTATCCTTGAGTTTTAACTTTTTAACAAAACCTGCCTTGAATTGTCCCTCATTCAGAAAGCAGTCTGGAGTAAAATTATTTGCGCAGACATAAACTAATTTAGGTGATGATTTCAACAGCGTGTTTCATTACGTCTCTTGGAATTAATGAATCAGCATTTTTGAATGTGTAGTTGAATGACAGTCCCTTTCCACCACCTTGTGGTGCAACACTGTAACTGCACTGACCGACAGCCCATCTAGAATGCGCGCAGGTGGAAATATCAATAGAAAGTCTCTTGTCCAGTCAGATTAGAAAATCAGATTACAACTAGGCTAACTGCTATACGTATAGGCCAGGGGTGGCGAACTCCGGTCCTGCAGAGCCGCAGCCCTGCAGAGTTCAGCTCTAACCCTAATTAAAACTCACCTGCCTGTAGCTTCCTAGTAACCGTTTAGACCTTGATTGGCTTGTTCAGGTGTGTTTGATTAGGGTTGAAGCAAAATTCTGCAGGGCTGAATCTCTCCAGGACCGACGTTCGCCACCCCTGATATAGGCTAACGATAGCCTAACGATCTTATTGTCAGGTTTATGTTCTGTTATGTGGACCGTTATTTTGCCATTCTCTTCTGTTTACTTCATTTCCTGTTTCAACTATTTGGTTTCGGTTACATTGTCTTCTGAATATGACCTCGTTAGTTATATCGTAACACATAAAATGATAAACAGCTGAAAACATTAGAAATTTAGAAAGAATTAGAAATCTCACCCACTCTTATTAGACTGATGTCAAATAAGGTGTACACAAAATTGTGAGAATGCAGTGAACACTTATTTTACATACTATTTAAACAAAATTAATGATTGATTGATCAAGACATTGTTAGCAAAACAGAAGGAGACAATACGGGACCTTCCACAGATAAGGTATTTATTGACAAGGTAAGTTGAAATGGGTCAGACAAGGTAAGTTGAAATGGGTCAAACAGATGAGTAATGCAGACTTAGGGTGCTTTCACACCTGTAGATCGATTGCTTTGTTCCAAAACAGGGATTAAAATTATTACAATGTTGCTTTTTATTCTTGGAGTGGTTCGCTTTCACATGGCAAAGTTTCTAAATGGACCAAATTTGTTAATACAAGTCACGCGCGAGTAAACTGTTGTTTCATTGGTCAATTGCCTGAGTAAAAATGTTGTTATCATAGCAATTAGCTAGGTTCTGATTAGTTTGACTAATATTGGTTTTCTAACAGCCTATGTTATGTGCAGGTTGGCTGATATAATGCTAATATATACAGTTATACGTGTTGGGGAATAAATAGTAACATGCAACGGAATTACATAATTTAATTACAAAATAAAAGTAACTGTAATCAGTTACAGTTACTGAAACAATATGTGTAATTAAATTACAGTTACTTATGAAAATGTTAAGGATTACAAAAGGGGTTACATCTGCTTGTTTTCACACGCACACCCACATAGATTTAATTGATTTCTTTCATAAATTGCAGTGACTGCTCTAAAATATAAAACACCAATATTTCAGGAGTTTAGAACATGCTTGTTCGATAACTCTTTTATTTCCTATATGGGTTTATGTATAGCTATGCTTAATTTTTTTAAGATTAACTGTTTTTTTCCAAGGCATTGTCAATATTTTATTAGCTATGATACCGTTTTTGAAATCAAATTTTTACATACGTGTTTACTGTCATAGCTATGTAAAGATTTGATTTCAAAAGCGGTATCATAGCTAATAAAATATTTCTTGTTATGATTTTAAATATGTATTTAACCTCAGAATGATCTCAAAGTAAGTCTGGTTTTGTAGTGGCTGTACTCCAAAGGGGACATTGATCTTACACAAGTTGGTATGATTCTTTAGGGTCTTCATGAACGGTCTGCAACATACTTAAAATTATTAAAATTCCTCTGTGGTCATGTAAAACAACACCCTTTTTACCTTGCTCTGTTCACAGCGACTCGTTTTGAGGCATGTCCCTTTAAATGCTAATGAGCTCTGCTCACCCGCCCCTTTCTTCCTTGGAAGAGCAAAGGCGATTTGCAAATATATATATGTACTATAAAATATATAGTGTCAGACTTAATTCATCTGGAGGTGCAGCTGGATCACGAACAATGGGTACTATCCTTGAGTTTTAACTTTTTAACAAAACCTGCCTTGAATTGTCCCTCATTCAGAAAGCAGTCTGGAGTAAAATTATTTGCGCAGACATAAACTAATTTAGGTGATGATTTCAACAGCGTGTTTCATTACGTATCTTGGAATTAATGAATCAGCATTTTTGAATGTGTAGTTGAATGACAGTCCCTTTCCACCACCTTGTGGTGCAACACTGTAACTGCACTGACCGACAGCCCATCTAGAATGCGCGCAGGTGGAAATATCAATAGAAAGTCTCTTGTCCAGTCAGATTAGAAAATCAGATTACAACTAGGCTAACTGCTATACGTATAGGCCAGGGGTGGCGAACTCCGGTCCTGCAGAGCCGCAGCCCTGCAGAGTTCAGCTCTAACCCTAATTAAAACTCACCTGCCTGTAGCTTCCTAGTAACCGTTTAGACCTTGATTGGCTTGTTCAGGTGTGTTTGATTAGGGTTGAAGCAAAATTCTGCAGGGCTGAATCTCTCCAGGACCGACGTTCGCCACCCCTGATATAGGCTAACGATAGCCTAACGATCTTATTGTCAGGTTTATGTTCTGTTATGTGGACCGTTATTTTGCCATTCTCTTCTGTTTACTTCATTTCCTGTTTCAACTATTTGGTTTCGGTTACATTGTCTTCTGAATATGACCTCGTTAGTTATATCGTAACACATAAAATGATAAACAGCTGAAAACATTAGAAATTTAGAAAGAATTAGAAATCTCACCCACTCTTATTAGACTGATGTCAAATAAGGTGTACACAAAATTGTGAGAATGCAGTGAACACTTATTTTACATACTATTTAAACAAAATTAATGATTGATTGATCAAGACATTGTTAGCAAAACAGAAGGAGACAATACGGGACCTTCCACAGATAAGGTATTTATTGACAAGGTAAGTTGAAATGGGTCAGACAAGGTAAGTTGAAATGGGTCAAACAGATGAGTAATGCAGACTTAGGGTGCTTTCACACCTGTAGATCGATTGCTTTGTTCCAAAACAGGGATTAAAATTATTACAATGTTGCTTTTTATTCTTGGAGTGGTTCGCTTTCACATGGCAAAGTTTCTAAATGGACCAAATTTGTTAATACAAGTCACGCGCGAGTAAACTGTTGTTTCATTGGTCAAAGTTCCACGGTTTATTTTCCGGGATTCCACTAGCTGTCACAGCTGTCATCCGTCAGGCTTATTGTTGTTGTTTTATTTTTTTTGTAGCTGTCCTTATATTAATTTATCATTTTGAGCAGGAGTCCAGGATTCATCGGGAAAACATTTTTAAAATGCACCTACTAGGAAGAAGAGAAATAAGACGGCATTATAAAATGAAAAAGTGCGCTTTCTTATTTTGAATGGCGAAGACGTGCTTCACCCACAGACATTCACAGGTTCATTTTTAAGTATTAGCAAAACAACAAAGCTAATGCTTTTCACGGAACTTACGTAATTACCCATTATACATTGTGATATAGCCTGGTTCGTTGGTCCGTTAGATCGGATTGCTTTCTCACTACAACCGAACCGCTGCAGAGTTCTTTGTCAATCGAGCCGAGACCACCTCGTTCAGGCGATCTTGGACCGATTGTTTTGGCACGGATCCGGGCACGATTGCCGTGTTCACATATGCCCAAACGAACCGAGCTAAGGGGGGAAACGCGCCAGGTTCTGAAACAACGGGCCAGCTGTGAAAGCACCCTTAGCTGACAAACTGGTGAGTATTTGCTAGGTGATGTGATTCCACAGAGGTGGAGGCACAACGGGAAGGTGAAGACTGACAGAGCAGAGCAGGTAGGTAGCCAGGTAAGCTGCATACAGACAACAAGACCAGACAATGGAAGAGTGCTCTTTGATGGCTGGAGGATTTAGTTGGTAGGTGATGTTGTTTATCTGCCTCCGGATGGCGAATGGACCTACGTAGCGGGGACTCATCATTAGTCGAAGATGGATTTCCCTGATGGGAGAACCAGACCTTCTGTCCTGGATGGTACTGGGTTGCGGTGATACGGCGAGTATCAGCCTGGCTCTTTAGTCTCTGCACTGCCTGCTGCAGGTGGACATGAGCCAAGTCTCAGACCTTCTCGCTCTCTTGGAACTAGTGGTTCACAGCTGGAACGTCCGATGGCTCACCTGACCAGGGAAACAAGGGTGGCTGGAAGCGGAGTACGCACTAGAAAGTGGTAAGTCCCGTGGTATTCTGTCGTAAGGAGTTCTGCGCGTACTCGGCCCAGGGAAGGAAACGGCTCCAGCTGTGTTGATGGTTATGGCAATAGCACCGCAGGTATCTCCCAATTTTCTGGATCTTGTGCTCAGTCAGGCCGTTAGTTTGCAGGTGATAAACTGAAGACAAGCTGACGGAAACTCTGTCAAACTTCCAACATAATTGGAAGAAGGCTTGCCACACCTGGAGATGAATAGGGGCCCGCGGTCGGAAACTATGTCCTCTGGAAGTCTGAAGTTTTGGAACACATGTTGGAATAGATGCTCTGGTTTCCAGAGCGGTAGGTAGTCCTTTTAGAAGGATGAGTTTGCAAGACTTAGAGAACCGATCCGCGACTACCAGGATGCAGGTGTGCGAGTCAGAGGGAGGTAGATCTGTAACAAAGTCCACTCTAAGGTGAGACCAGGGCTGTCGAGGAATTGGTATGTAGCGCCTTTAGTCCTGGACCAGCGATATAAGCACTAACATTTATCTAGGCTCGGACAGGGGTTGCTTAAGAAGAGTGAGTGAGTTGAACAATTAACTGATTTATTGCCAGAAACAGCAATGTAACAGACACAGCCTTAACTGGGTATATAAATGATTAAATAAAACGAAGAGCTCTTCAAAAAAGAAATAACAAATAAACAAAAATCAACAGAACCCAGTTTAAATGTAGTTCTTTGTCCTTGTATATATGGGTCTGAGTCCAAAGAATAGTTCCTTAAACCAGTGTGTGCACAAATTCCAAAAAGCGATCAGTTCCTTGAATGAGTATATGGATTCCAAACAAAAGAGAAGTTCCACTCCTTGAATGTAGATGCATTGAGTGCACTAAATATTCCTACCAGTGTGGATGAAACAAGGTTGATGCTCTTATCTGGTGTTTCGATGGACTAATGAAGCCAATCGGGCTCTCTCTGTGACGAACCTCGCGGCTGGCCACATCACTTTCATGGGCTGGGCTCGCCGTCTCCAATTCTTCTGATAACTCAAAAAACCAATCTACACAAAGAGTAAAAGAAATAAATGTTCTGTTCTTTACATGAGACCTCATTACCTTCTTTTCTATCTTTCAAAGTACAATCGGTGCAACCAGTTACTATAGATGCACTTAGATTACATAAGCAATTGTATTTTTTATAAACATGTTGTAGCGTCTCGACCAATCTGACACACTAATTTTAATTTGATTTAACAAATCAATTATTCATTAGGTTAACAAATCGTCACAGTCCCCTCACTCAATAAACTGGATGCCAGGATGTCTGCTGAACACCAGGCCCTCTGGTCACCATGACAACTAATCATGATATCACTGGTTTTATGACCCCCCAGGAATGTGAGAAGGATAGCCCACTCTTGTCCCAAGGAAAAGCAGAGTAGAAATGGACTGTGTTCTAGTTAATTCATAGAAAAAACGTTATTTGAATGAACACACATATTTCTTCAGGCCATTGAGTATATTATTGTCATTGTGTATTTTGTCTTTGATATTCTTAGACTATTTTAGTATGCTTGTGAGGGGACCCATTCCTGATCCTCCCTTTTCACTATATGTAATCTTACCTTGTTTAGTATCTATGAATTTGCCTTCTTATGATCGAAACAAGCGTGTATATTATATGGTGGTACATAGGCAATATATATTAGGGCCCTGAGAATCGTTAATAATTTCGATTTAAGTCCATTTGCAAATTACCATGCTTAGAGAACAAAGGGTCGTAAACCCTCCAGCAATTGCCTCCTCCCGCTCGGAAATTCCATTTTGCTCATTGGACAAGCCCCGGTCGGTGGTTCGGTCATAAGCTAAGAAGATGTGAGAAACGCTTCAGGATACCAAAGCATCTGTGCCAGGCCTTTCTTCGGCCTAGTCCTTTCCATTCATCAAGTGACTCTGACTCAAACTGGTTCTTTCTCATCAACCAACTTCAGCAAGATCTTGGGGCCTTAAGATTGCATCAGGAATCTTTTTCAGACATACGCAAGTATCAAACTTAGTCGATTTAATTCATGCATTAAGTATCAGTTACACCTTTTTACAAGGTTTGTTTGAACTCAGAATCTGACGTATCCCTGAAGGCTTTGATCTGTTGAATATACATGCAAAGTGTTCCATAAAATCCATTCTTTATGCCTCTTTCTATGCTGAGTTAAACTTTAACCCTTTCCTATACCAACTGTATGTGTGTGTGTGTGTATGTGTATGTTAGACCGGCTTAATGTGTTTATGTAATATGTTAGACTAGTTTAAGTGTTTATGTAGTTAATAAAACCTTACTTGTATCACACTTGACGTGTTCATTGTTTACTCATAACCGGAGTCAATAATCATGCAGATTTACGTTACAAGCTTATAGAATTGTACAGTAAGAAAGTTATTTCCCTTAACCAGGAAATTAACGTCTTAGAATTGACAAGACAGTTGACCCTGAGTGGTCAGCTAAATATCTACAGTGGATCTAAAATATGAATAGTTAATTATAACTAGTTATGGTTAATTATTCATATTTCCCCATGAGCTGATTCGCTACAATGTGCTTCCAAAATAAAATGAATTACACAAATCAAAAACAGCAATAAAGATGTTAACATCACTTACACAGTGTTTTACATTCGTTCTTCTCCAAAACATATTTCTTTTTAATGTTTAACATTAACATGAAATGTAATTGCAACTAACTATGATACTTTGTACCAAAGTTGGTTTAAAACATTGAATTCTCGGGTACTCCGGTTGGTTTTATAAGGAAATTGTCTTTTTAAACAAACTACTCTATTCCATCTAAGTAGCTAGCCGGAACAGAACTAGCAAAATGTGGCTCACTCACCGGAGATTAATCAAAGTTGACCAAATAGTGCTTCATTCGATGTCCAAGTGGAATCCAAGTAGTAAACAACTTAGTAATTAAATTCAATGATGAAACTCAGGATTTAAAGCAAAAATTTGCAGAATTTTAAGATATAAACTCAGGAGCTCATCGGCATGCACGTTTCTGGAAGAATCATCGACAGGAAAATGGGATTCTTGCTTACTCTACGGTCCACTCCACTAAGAGGAAGAGTAAAGCGCCCTCTATAGGAAATTATATACTATTACCTCTGACTTAGTATCCCTAATTTTATAGGGGTTACAGGTAGTAGGACCATCTTTCCTTCAGGGAGACAGCAAGGAGTTTTGGAGATGGCACAGACTGAGCAGCTCCTAACATACCGGGAGACATCCTGGTCATGTTGGGCCACCAACAGCCGTTCTGGAGAAGCGAGAGGGTTTGCTGGCTGCCTGGGTGTCCAGATCCCGGAGAGGTGTGAACTGAATCCAGAAGGGTCAGCCGTAGAGGTGTTGGTAAATAAATTCTCCATGCTGGACCTCCCGTCTGACCAGGTTTTGAGCGAGTGGCCTCGGAGATTTGATCTATGGACCGTTGAATGGGACTCACTATAATGGCTGGAGGGAGGATAGGTTCAGGAGGTGAGATGCTCTAATCAGAGTGGTGGATACAGGACAGCGCATCAGCCCATTAGTTCTTGGATCCAGGCTGGTGGCAATGAAATTGAATCGGGTGAAGAACAGGGCCTAGCAGGCTTGTCTGCGGTAATGGAGGTATTTCAAGTTTTGGTGATCTGTAATGACCTCAAAACTAATAAGGACTTGGGCCTTTTTTTCAGGAGGGAGGTGATTAATGCACAAATTTGGCTGGAGTTAACAATGAAGCGACAATAGAAATTGGCAAATCCTAGGAATCTTTGGAGTTCTTTGATGGTAGTGGGTTGAGGCCAGTCCCTGACAGCCTGCACCTTCCTCTGGTCCATGCGGATGCTATGATGGCCAATGACATACCCGAAGAACTGGATCTTGTCTCAGTGGAACTCAGTGTTTCCTCAGTCCTTGGAGGACAGGTTTCAAGTGGTGGCGATGTTTGGGCAGGTTCCAAGAGTAGATGTGGATATCATCTATGTACATGATCACGAAGTGATGGAGGAACACCATTCATGATTCCCTGGAACACGGAGGGTGAGTTGGAGAGGACATACGGCATCTCCTGGTATTCATAGTGGCTGGCGTGATAAAGGCAGTCTTCCATTCACCAACCTCACAGATCTGAATGAGGTTACACGCACTACGCAGGTCCAGCTTGGAGAAGATGCGGACACCACGCAGCTGCTCAAGGGCGGCAGGGACCAGAGGAAGTGGTATTTGATGGTCTGAGAGTTCAACACATCGTAATCAATGCAGGGCCACAAGCCTCCATTTTTTTTACTGACGAAGAAGCTGGAAGCTGCTGGTGATGTGGATGGGCTTGGTGGATGGACTGGACAAGATGATAACAGATGACCTCTTGCACCATAGTATAAACACAGACGGCTGACGATCCTCCTCCTTGCACAGGTCAGGTGATAAGTATCGACCTGTATGGGCTCTGGTGCTGGAGGGGCGACAGGTGAATGGTGGATGGAGGAAATGCCGCGGATTGGTCCAATTCACATGCTGACATGCGCTGGGAGATGCAGATGGCCCTCTAGATAAAGTTATCCAGCCCCACGACAACATCATAGATGGCCATCTGAAGACAAATGTTATTATTGAGCCCCTGTCGAAAAGCGGTTATTAGT